TGTGTGTGAATGGATGTGTTTGTGTGTGTGTGTCTGTGTGTGAATGTGTTTCTGTGTGTTTGTGTGTGTGTGTGTGTGTATTTGTGTGAATGGATATGTTTGTGTGTGTGTCTGTGTGTGAATGTGTTTTTGTGTATGGATGTGTTTGTGTGTTTGTGTGTGTGTATGTGAATGTGTTTGTGTGTGTGGAAGTGTTTTTGTCTTTGAGTGTGAATGGGTTGCTATGTGTGTGTGTTTGTGTGTGGGTATTTGTCTGTGTGTGCGTGACTTTGTGTGTGTACATGTGTTCGTATGTGCCAGGGTGAAAAAAGTGTGAATTATTGTTGTTGCTGTTATTGTCATCTTTATTGTAATTAGAATTAATATTGTTATCATTTAATGTACGAGTGTTGTTATTACCAGTGGTATTACTATTATCATTATTATCACTGCAATATTATATTACAAATAGTAGTATTTTTACCAATATCATCTTTTAGTACTTTTATTATTATTGTTGCCATAATTTTCCACCTCTTAAATAAGCTAATAGTGTAGATAGTGTTAAACCCATACCATTTTCATTTTGCCCGTGATTTTTTTTTTCTGAATTCTATTGTTATTGTGATTGAAATATGTGTCACGACGCGGTGGAATCAGGATGTCAGGGTTGCCTGGTTTCAGAGGTAAAATTAACGAAAAAATGGCCGCCAAAGTTTGGTTACTTCCAAATCCCGAGAGTCCTTGGAAGCTGAAAATTACGATTTAGGTGCCATTAATCAATGTTTTGCAGTAAAACCCACACAAAAATGTGTTTTTAAATGGACAGAAAAGATGTTGAGTGAAAAAAAAAAGAAAATTAGATAAAAATTGCTCATTGGCCCCCAAAAAAAGAAAATTTGGAGAAAAAAAAATGCAGATTTCTTTCATTTCATTATTTCGACAAGCGCCTGATTTCATCACGATGCCTCACACACGACATAATTATAATTCTACTTCCTTCCCCCAGACCCGTCACGGTCCCCTCTGGGCCCGGCATCGCGGCGCATCAGCAGCATGAGCACCTTCAACCGCTCGGCCAGCGTGGACTCCAAGCTGGGCTCGTCCGTGTCGAAGCCCAAGGAGGAGGACCAGCAACTGCTGCCCGTCATGCCCAATATACGGCTGCCCTTTGTGCAGCCTGCCGTTCTGCCAGGTGAGAGGGCGTTGTTTTTTGGGGGGGTTTTTTCTTCTTTTTGTGCGTGTGTATGTATGTGTGTTGGGTTTTTATTTTGGTTTTTTTTTCCCCTTTTTTTGTGTGTGTATGTTTGTGTGTTGTATTGGTTTTTTTTGGGGGGGA